AATAAACACTTTAATGTTATTCACGCTATATTATATTTTATATAGCTGCCATATTTCACAGGCTTTTAAACGAGTCATAGAAAATTGGCTTTGAAAATTCAAGTTCATCAAATAAAATCTTTTGGAGGTTTTCACCGAATTTTACCGCTTTTTTATGAATAACCTTAATTCGACTTTGTTTCTTTGAGCACACTTAAGAAATCGTGTGAGTTTGTGTGAAATTCTTTGAATACAACAAAACAAAGACGATGATGTGAAAATCTTAATTAAACTTGAATTTGAGATGTTTGTTTAACTTTATTTATTTTAAGACTTAAAATTATTTTTAGTTTCAAATTTCAGGACATAAAGATTTATTATCCTTCAAAGCTTTTTTGCCAACAAAAAAAAATTAATGCTTTGGTTTCAATTTACATTTTCTTTTAGACAAAATAACGTACATTGTTTGAAATTTTCTGCAAATGGGAGATTAAGTAAAACGCGAAAAGAAATCTAAATATTATGACAGAACTCACAAATCGAACAGTGAAAAATACCCATCCATTTCAGTTCAATTTATCAAATTTAAACTTTAAATATTACAAAATCATATCGAAATTCTTAGTTTTCTAAAAACAGTTTAAACGATATTTTATAAAATTACAATATCAAGCGGAAGTGAGTAAACTGTGAACGAGATATCGAGACCTTGACAAGTAAAAAAGAAACGTTTTTGCTTAAACAGTTAAAATACGAGAGCCAAGAGTCGGTTTATTGTGCGCTAACATTCTCATTTCGATTTTTTACGACCGACAACATCCGTCATAAACTTTTGGCATTGGCCAGGTGAGGAGTTTTAGCGTTCACGACTACGATTCGCTTCTTCTTATTGTTTTAATGGGAAAGGAGTGTGTCGAAAATAACTCGGAATCATATTGGAAGAAAACATTGTGTTGGATTATATCGGCAAGCGGCAGTTCCGGAATTTACGACTGTGACTAATTCGGGCATAACCTGCCAAAATTGTTTAATTATAGCCCTTGTATATACACACATACAGAGACCGCTAGTGTTGTTTCTACTTACATAAGGCACCAAAATTCCACAATTGTTAAATCATCGATTTTAAGATTTCAAATAATTAAATTCAATCTTTTCAAAATTGATTTTTATTAAAAGCTTTCTTATCTTTTAACCCATTTATTTTACCCCACACAAACTTCGTATAAAATCCCAGGAGGTGATTGATCTCAATAAAACAAACATAAGGTGAAGAGGGAGAAAAGTGCACGTGCTAGCGTACGCGGATGACATGGTGGTTGTGGCGAATGATGAGGCGGAAATGAGTGGGATGAATGTAGCAAAGATAAAGATTATGAAGTTCTGCAAAGAGGGGAGAAGAAAGAGGGAGGAATGAAGATGGGAGGAGAGAGAGATTGATAACAAGGACGCGGCGCATGTGAGAGAGATGGTTAAAAGGGCAAACAAGGTGATGGGGCAGGTCTGGAGATGGAATGAGAGAGTGTTTGGAAGGAACATCAGAAAGAGGATCTGTTTGATGGGTTGGTGAGGAGTGCAATGATGAAGAGGACATACGGAATCGGTACTGGAGGTGGGTTCTGGGTCTGGCGAAGGAAACACGAAGAAACATTGTGAGGGAGAAAGTGAAGGTGGATGAACTGAGTGTTGGAAGGAATATTAGAACAGGACGGGTTATTCGGAGGCAAAGATACATAACAGAAGAAGGGAAGGGGTGGTGATGTGGGGGGGAAGCGACAGAGACAGGGATAGGGACATCCAGAGACACGAGAGAAGAACGCAGATAAAAGAGGGAAGATGCAACGTAAGATATGAAGACATAATTACGAAGGGTAAAATCTTATTCGACTGGTAATAATGACGCTGGCAAATACCAGGAATGTAATAAAGGTGGCCGAGAGCGTCTCGAGAGAGCTTGTGGTAAGATACGACCTCAGGCAAAGAGGATGCCTTGTCCTGTACGTTGTTTAACCTAACTCTAGAAAGGGCCATCAAAAGCATTGAAATACGACAGGGATTAACATTATTAAATCGAACAACGCAATGCCTAGCATACGTAATATGGACTTGTTATGCAGATACCGATTTTTTTAACACTCTTCTAATTTTCATATTTTTGAAAAATTCTCCACATTGATGCATCTGGGAGCAAAAATGTTATGGAACATTGTGTTAAGGGTACAATTTGCTACAACTGTTGTTGTAAAAGTTTTTCTGTATCATGCTCCGGATACCAATTTTTTTAATACCCTTCTAATTTTCATATTTTTGAAAAATTCATCACACATTGATGCATCTGAGAGCAAAAATGTTACAGACCCTTGTATTAAGGGTACAATTTGCTACAAGTTTTGATGTAAAAGTTTTTCTGTGTCATGCTCAGAATACCGATTTTTTTAACACTCTTCTAATTTTCATATTTTTGAAAAATTCTCCACATTGATGCATCTGGGAGCAAAAATGTTACAGATTATTGTGTTAAGGGTACAATTTGCTAAAGAAGGCCAGACTTAGATGACTTGACCATACAGATAGAGCATACCGACAGAATCCCGAGGATCGACGACTTCTTCTGGGACGATCGCAGATGATGGCTAAACGACGTGCAAGCTGGTTTGAGGCTAGGAGTGAGAAGATTCAAAAGACAGTCTGCGTTGAGGTCTACAAAAAAGAGGTGACGAAGGCCGAGGCTCTACAGGAGCTGTCGCACCAAGCTAAATAATTGCAACAAACACGTTCTGAATTTGACATACTCTTGATGGTAACTCATGGGATTCGGGACTAAGAGATTGTTAGAATAAAGGTTGTAGCAAATTTTATTCTTAACAATATTGTTCTTTTTTAGTTTTTCTCTCAGGTGCATAAATATCCAGAAAAAATCGTAAATGTGAAAATTGGATTATTTCGGATTTTTACATACTCTTGATGGTAACTCATAAGATTTGGGGCATATTACAAAAAAATTGTTAGAACAAAAGTTATAGCAAATTTTATTCTTAACAATATTACTCTCTTTTACTTTTGCTCTCAGATGCATAAAGATCGAGAAAAATGCGAAAATATGAAAATAACATAAATCTGTGGTTTTACATGGTATTGATGGTAACACATGGGATTGGGGACATATTACAAAAAAATGTATAGAATAAAAGTTGTAGCAAATTGTATTCTTAACAATATTGCTCTTCTTCACTTTTTCTCCCAGATGCATAAATATCCAGAAAAAATCATAAATGTGAAAATGATGAAAAATGTGAGGTTGATTGGCGTTGAGATGGAAAGCCTTAAAGGTAAAAGAATATGAAGTACAATACTTATACAATACACTGCGGATCCTCATTATACAGAAAAATCTTATCCGACTGGTAAGGATAACTCCGGCAAACCAGGGGTGTAATAAAGGTGACCAGGAGCGTCTCGAGAGAGCTTGTGATGAGATGCGACCTCAGGCAAAGAGGATGCCTTGTCCTGTACGTTGTTCAACCTAACTCTAGAAAGGGCCATCAGCTAGGCACATGCGCATGAGAAATGGAAGGGGCGAACCTCAATCGAATTTATCGCGCAATTATATGATAAATCACATTTTACAACCGAAGTAAGGAAGGCCAGACTTCTTCTGGAACGATTGTGCAGATGATGGCTAAATAACGTGCAAGCTGATTTGAGGCTAGGAGTGAGAAGATTCAGAAGACAGTCTTCATTGAGGACTAGAAAAAAGAGGTATCGCACCAAGCTAAAATAATTGCAACAAACACCTCCTGTATAGAAAAAACTGTCAGTTTGAGGAATGACAGATTGGTCGTTAGAGATTATGTCATAAATAAAAATCATCACCTTGTAGAACCGATTTCTTCAATGATTCTTCTTGTTTAATGTGTTTTTAACATTATCATAATAAATACGATTTAATCATGAAATCAATTTTCCAATCCAAACCGAGATCTTAGAAAATGAAAATCGATTAGTGTTCAAATCGACCTTTCTAAAAACATCTACAACGACCATAAAAGTATTTCTAAGAAACTCGAACGTTTGTTTTAGCAAATATTATTTCGAAAATCATCCAGCGACTCATTTCCGCCTCTCTCGTTATGATAAACGCGAGAAATGGAGTCTCATTCTCTAACGGTGTTTTCTTAGCTATGAATCTCTTGTGTTTCGACAGTATGAATCGCCTCCTTTAAACCGTTACGAGACCAAACCAAAACCCGGACGTAAACCTGCCGCAGATGTTCCATTCTGTTTTTTGGCATGTTTGACATTCAGGCTCATTTCTCCTCCTACGTCCGTGTGTGTCAACGTGTTCGTTTATAAATAGTTCAATCCGCTCCGTTGAAGTGTTCCCTCGATTTTCGAGAGATTATTTTATAATCGTTCGACATAAATATCACTTATTAAATCTAATTTTTGTTTAAACAAATATTTCATTAAAAAAGCAAATTTTCACAACCTTTGTTATCTTAAACTATATTTAAGGTAAATATTTAAAAATACGTTTTTAACTTGAACGTTTTCAGTGAATTTAGCGTTACGACTCAAAAGATATAAATTGCGAGGTTATAAATTGGGATTAAGTTAAGGAGTGGGTCAAATACGTCTTGTTTCTTCAAGTTTATGATCGAAAATCGTTCGTTTCGAGACGATTTAAGGAGAATACGCAATCTTGGGGAGTTTATTGTTGTAATAAAGATGTAACTTGCAACATTGTTGTGTTTTTATGGAGTTGTGAATTAGATTTAACTTTATATTTAGGTGGAGGAGCCGGATTTATGTTATTTGCCAATTATTTCTAATGAGAAAGGTCACGACATTTTTAGTACTTCCCTAAGGGTTCTGATTTTATCGCTTCGATAAAATGTCGATGTCGTAAAAGGTCTTTTATCACTTCTCACCATTACATCAATCTAAATTTATTACCCAATTTTGAGTCATTTTAATAATTAAACCCTTTATCTTCTGATACATTTATTTTTTATTTACAGAAAAGAATGCAAGGGATGCAAATGTACTCGGGACAACCACGAAATCGTAGCAGAACAAGGTGCGAAAATTCGACTTGGTTTAAATACGACAACTTTAGAAGCAGGAATAGCTGACCCTAGATCTTTAGGATATTCTTTTGTACCCCCTGGATTAACAGCGCGACAAGTATGAATAAAATTGATTTTTTTTTAACTTTTTAACTCCAACAATTTTTTTTTAGATCGAACAATTTTATTCAACGTTGCCAACACACGAAGTACCAAGATTAGGAACAAAAGGAGAATCATTAAGATGTGAAAGAATGGTTAAACAATTACCTAGGCAAGATTTAGCTTATAGTGCTTGTAAACACGTCGAATCATCGAATAAAAGCGGATATGAAGTAAAACTAAACATTTAAAACAAATTTAAAAAAATAATTTTGATTAATTTTTTTAGGATTTTATCACAGCTCGAAATGAAATAGCTTTAGATATAGGATTTGCAAGACTCGCGCCTCCAGGAAATTCTTGCACCGGATGTAATAAACCTTTAATCCCACAAATGCCTTGCGTATCAGCTGCGAGGATGGGTTCATCCTTATGGCATCCCGCTTGTTTTAAGTGCCATCAATGTTATGAGTTGTTGGTTGATTTAGCGTATTGCGTTCACGAGGAAAATTTGTATTGCGAACGTCACTATTCCGAATTGTTAAAACCCAGATGTGCTGGCTGTGATGAGGTAAGAAATGAGATTTTTTTTCTGTTTAGGGATCAACCAAATATTGACGACCAATAAAAATATACGAAGCTTTCGTGTTTATGATCGCGTTTATGTCTTGTTGAGGTTTGATGCTTACGAACCAAAAAAAAAATTAAGGAAAGAATTTATCAAAAAAAATAGTTTAGAAAAGAATCTCGAAAATTTCAGAATGAGTTTATAAATAATAAGTTTATAGAACACTCAATTTCATAACTTTATTCATAAAAACTGAATATAAAATCGGAGTATTATTATATTTTCCTTTACTAAAATTTATTATTTCAACAAAGTTGATTGGGTGTATAATAACATAATAACGTTTACATTTTAGATTTTCATGTTTCAAAAGAAAATCAATATTTGGTTGGATATTTTATAATTTCCTCGAGGTTTTAACTTTTTCAATCAAACATTTTTCCCACTATTATTAACATCTTAATATAATTAACTCTTAATATAATACGTTCATTTTAATGATTCGAAAAGTGTTCAAAGTTGTCTAATTCTGATGTTGATTGAGAAATATGAGAATAAGATGAATTCCTTGTTTTACATACAGTTGTATTAACATCTTACAAAAAAACTTTTTGAATAAAAGCTGTAGCAAATTTTATTCTTAACAGTATTGCTCCTTCTACTTGTGCTCTCAGACGCATAAAAATCGAGAAAAATACGAAAATTAGATAGATCTGTGGTTTTACATGGTATTGATGGTAATACATGGGATTGGGAACATGTTACAAAAAAACTTATAGAATAAAAGTTATAGCAGATTGTATTCTTAGCAATATTGCTCTTCTCCACTTTTTCNAAATACGAAAATTAGATAGATCTGTGGTTTTACATGGTATTGATGGTAATACATGGGATTGGGAACATGTTACAAAAAAACTTATAGAATAAAAGTTATAGCAGATTGTATTCTTAGCAATATTGCTCTTCTCCACTTTTTCTCCTAGATGCATAAATCTCCAGAAAAAATCATAAATGTGAAAATTGGATGTTTTCGGATTTTTACATACTCTTGATGGTAACTCATAATATTTGGGGCATGTTGCAAAAAAATTGTTAGAACCAAAGTTGTAGCAAATTTTATTCTTAACAATATTGCTCTCTTTTACTTTTGCTGTCGGATGCATAAAGATCGAGAAAAATGCGAAAATATGAAAATTATATAAATCTGGTTTTACATGGTATTGATGGTAACACATGGGATTGGAAACATGTTACAAAAAAACTTTTAGAATAAAAGTTGTAGCAAATTGTATTCTTAGCATTATTGCTCTTCTTCACTTTTTCTCCTAGGTGCATAAATGTCCAGAAAAAATCAAAAATGTGAAAATTAGATGTTTTCGGATTTTTACATACTCTTGATGGTAACTCATAGGATTCGGGGCATATTACAAAAAAATCGTTAGAACAAAAGTTATAGCAAATTTTATTCTTAACAATATTGCTCTCTTTTACTTTTGCTGTCGGATGCATAAATATTGAGAAAAATACGAAAATATGAAAATTTGATAAATCTATGGTTTTACATGGTATTGATGGTAACACATGGGATTGGGATCATATTACAAAAAAACTTTTAGAATAAAAGTTGTAGCAAATTGTATTCTTAGCAATATTGCTCTTCTCCACTTTTTCTCCTAGATGCATAAATATCCAGAAAATATCATAAATGTGAAAATTGGATGTTTCGGATTTCTACATACTCTTGATGGTAACTCATAAGATTCAGGGCAAATTACAAAACAACTTTTAGAACAAAAGTTGTAGCAAATTTTATTCTTAACAATATTGCTCTCTTTTACTTTTGCTGTCGGANCATACTCTTGATGGTAACTCATAATATTTGGGGCATGTTGCAAAAAAATTGTTAGAACCAAAGTTGTAGCAAATTTTATTCTTAACAATATTGCTCTCTTTTACTTTTGCTGTCGGATGCATAAAGATCGAGAAAAATGCGAAAATATGAAAATTAGATAAATCTTGTTTTACATGGTATTGATGGTGACACATAGGATTGGGAACATATTTCAAAAAAACTTTTAGAATAAAAGTTATAGCAAATTGTATTCTTAGCAATATTGCTCTTCTTCATTTTTTTCCCTAGATGCATAAATGTCCAGAAAAAGTCATAAATGTGAAAATTGGATGTTTTCTGATTTTTACATACTCTTGATGGTAACTCATAGGATTCGGGGCATATTGCAAAAAAATTGTTAGAACAAAAGTTGTAGCAAATTTTATTCTTAACAATATTGCTCTCTTTTACTTTTGCTCTCGGCCGCATAAAGATCGAGAAAAATGCGAAAATATGAAAATTAAATACATCTGTGGTTTTACATGGTATTGATGGTAACACATGGGATTGGGAACATATTTCAAAAAAACTTTTAGAATAAAAGTTGTAGCAAATTGTATTCTTAGCAATATTGCTCTTCTTCACTTTTTCTCCTAGATGCATAATGGTCCAGAAAAAATCATAAATGTGAAAATTGGATGTTTTCGGATTTTTACATACTCTTGATGGTAACTCATAGGATTCGGGGCATATTGCAAAAAAATTGTTAGAACAAAAGTTGTAGCAAATTTTATTGTTAACAATATTGCTCTCTTTTACTTTTGCTGTCGGATGCATAAATATTGAGAAAAATGCGAAAATATGAAAATTTGATAAATCTATGGTTTTACATGGTATTGATGGTAACACATGGGATTGGGAACTGATTTCAAAAAAACTTTTAGAATAAAAGTTGTAGCAAATTGTATTCTTAACAATATTGCTCTTCTTCACTTTTTCTCCTAGATGCATAATGGTCCAGAAAAAATCATAAATATGAAAATTGGATGTTTTTGGATTTTTACATACTCTTGATGGTAACTCATAGGATTCGAGGCATATTGCAAAAAAAAATGTTAGAACTAAAGTTATAGCAAATTTTGTTCTTAACAATATTGCTTTCTTTTACTTTTGCTCTCGGGTGCATAAAGATCGAGAAAAATGCGAATATATGAAAATTAGATAAATCTGTGGTTTTACATGGTATTTATGGTAACACATGGGATTGGGAACATATTACAAAAAAACTTTTAGAATAAAAGTTGTAGCAAATTGTATTCTTAGCAATATTGCTCTTCTTCACTTTTTCTCCTAGATGCATAATGGTCCAGAAAAAATCATAAATGTGAAAATTGGATGTTTTCGGATTTTTACATACACTTGATGGTAACTCATAAGATTTGGGGCATGTTGCAAAAAGATTGTTAGAACAAAAGTTATAGCAAATTTTATTCTTAACAATATTGCTCTCTTTTACTTTTGCTCTCAGACGCATAAAGATCGAGAAAAATGCGAATATATGAAAATTAGATAAATCTGTGGTTTTACATGGTATTTATGGTAACACATGGGATTGGGAACTGATTTCAAAAAAACTTTTAGAATAAAAGTTATAGCAAATTGTATTCTTAGCAGTATTGCTCTTCTTCACTTTTTCTCCTAGATGCATAAATGTCCAGAAGAAATCATAAATGTGAAAATTGGATGTTTTCGGATTTTTACATACTCTTGATGGTAACTCATAGGATTCGAGGCATATTGCAAAAGAAATGTTAGAACTAAAGTTACAGCAAATTTTATTCTTAACAATATTGCTCTCTTTTACTTTTGCTCTCAGATGCATGAAGATCGAGAAAAATGCGAAAATATGAAAATTAGATAAATCTTGTTTTACATGGTATTGATGGTGACACATAGGATTGGGACCATATTACAAAAAAACTTTTAGAATAAAAGTTGTAGCAAATTGTATTCTTAGCAATATTGCTCTTCTCCACTTTTTTTCCTAGATGCATAAATATCCAGAAAATATCATAAATGTGAAAATTGGATGTTTCGGATTTCTACATACTCTTGATGGTAACTCATAAGATTTGGAGCATATTGCAAAAAAATTGTTAGAATAAAAGTTATAGCAAATTTTATTCTTAACAATATTGTTCTCTATTACTTTTGCTCTCAGATGCATAAAGATTGAGAAAAATACGAAAATATGAGAATTAGATAAATCTATGGTTTTACACGGTATTGATGGTAACACATGGAATTGGGAACATATTACAAAAAAACTTTTAGAATAAAAGTTGTAGCAAATTGTATTCTTAGCGATATTGCTCTTCTTCATTTTTTCTCCTAGGTGCACAAATATCCAGAAAAAATCATAAATGTCAAAATTGGATGATTTCCGATTTTTACATACTCTTGATGGTAACTTATCGGATTCGGGGCATATTGCAAAAAAATTGTTACAATACAAGATATAGCAAATTTTATTCTTAACAATATTGCTCTTTTTCGCTTTTGCTCTCAGATGTATACAAATTGAGGAAAATACATAAATGTGTATATTTATAAAATTCGTTATTTTAGCTGTTTATAGCAAATCATTATTCGATNGGGCATATTACAAAAAAATCGTTAGAACAAAAGTTATAGCAAATTTTATTCTTAACAATATTGCTCTCTTTTACTTTTGCTCTCGGACGCATAAAGATTGAGAAAAATGCGAATATATGAAAATTAGATAAATCTGGTTTTACATTTTATTGATGGTAACACATGGGATTGGATACATACTGCAAAAAAACTTTTAGAATAAAAGTTGTAGCAAATTGTATTCTTAGCGATATTGCTCTTCTTCACTTTTTCTCCTAGGTGCACAAATATCCAGAAAAAATCATAAATGTCAAAATTGGATGATTTCGGATTTTTACATACTCTTGATGGTAACTCATCGGATTCGGGGCATATTGCAAAAAAATTGTTACAATAAAAGATATAGCAAATTTTATTCTTAACAATATTGCTCTTTTCACTTTTGCTCTCAGATGTATACAAATTGAGGAAAATACATAAATGTATTAATTTATAAAATTCGTCATTTTAGCTGTTTATGGCAAATCAGGATTCGATG